CTTTTTTTTTAAAAAATTTTCCCCCCTTTTTTTTAAAAAAAAGGGGGGGCCCCCCTTTTTTTTGGGGGGGCAAGGTTTTTTTTTGGGGGGGGGGGAAAAAAGGGGGGGCCTTTTTCCCCCCCCAAAAACCCCCCTTTTTTAAAAAGGGGGGGGGGGGTTTTTTTGGGAAAAAAGGGGTCCCCTTTCCCTTTTCCCCCCCCCCCCCCCCCCCCCCCCCCCCCCCCCCTTTCCCCCGGGGGAAACCCCCCAAAAAAATTTTTTTTTTTTTTCCCCCCCTTTTTTTGGGGGGGCCCCCTTTTTCCCCGGGGGGGGGGGGGCCCCCCGGGTTTTTTAAAAAAAGGGGGCCCCCGGGGGGGGGGGAGGATAGTTTCCCGGGCCCCCTTTTTGGGGGGGGGGGGTTTCCCCGGGGGGGGTGGGAAAGGGGGAAAACCCCAAAAAAACCCCCTTTTTTAAGGGGGGGGGGGGCCCCCCCTTTAAAGGGGGGGCCCCCCCCCCTTTTTGGGGGGGGCCCCCCCTTTTTTTTTTGGGGGAAAAACCCCTTTTAAGGGGGGGGGGAAAAAAAAAAATTTTTTTTTTTGGGAAAATTTTTTTAAATTTTTCCCAAAAAGGGAAAAATTTTTAAAACCCCTACCTTTTTTGGGGGCCCCCCCCGGGGGCCCCAAAACCCCCCCCCCCCCCCCAAAGGGGGGGGGGCCCCCCTTTTTTAAGGGGGGGGGGGTTTTTTTTTTTAAGGGGGGTTTTTAAAGGTTTTTTTTTAAAAGGCCCTTTTTTTTTGGGGAAAAAAAACCCCCCCGGGGGTTTTTTAAAAAAAAAAAAATAAAAAAAGGGCAAGGGGGCCCCCCAAAAAAAGGGGGGGGTGGTTTTTTTTAAAAGTTTTGGGGGGGGGGTTTTTTGGGGGGGGAAAAAAAGGGGTTTTTTAAAAATTTTTCCCCCAAAAAAAAAAAAATTTTTTAAAAGGGGGAAAAAAAAACCCCTTTTTAAAAAAAAAAAAAGGCCCCCTTTGGGGGAAAAAAAAAATTTATTCCCCCCCCCCTTTTTGGGAAAAAAAGGCCCTTTTTTAAAAAAAAAAGGGGGGGTTTTTTTTTTTTGGGGGAAAAAGGGGGGCCCCCCCCCCCCCCCCGGTTTTTTAAACCCCCCAATTTTTTTTTGGGGGAAAATTTTTTTAAAAAATTTTTAAAAATTTTGGGCTGGCCAAAAAACCCGGGGAGGTTTTTCCCCCCGGGTTTTGGGGAACCTTTTTTCCCCCTTTTTTTCAAAAAAACCCCCTTTTTTTTTAAAAAACCCCCCCTTTTTTGGGGGGGTTTTTCCCCTTTTTCCCCCCGGGGGGAAAAAGGGGGGGTTTTTTTTGGGGGGGGGTTCCCCGGGGGGGGGGGAAAAAAACCCCCCCTTTAAAAGGGGGGGTTTGGGGGGGTTTTTTTTTTTTTTTGGGGAAATTTTTCCCCTTGGTTTGGGAAGGGGGGAAAAACCCCCTTTTTTTGGCCCGGGGTTGGGGGGGGTTTTTTTTTTTTAAAAAAAAAAAAATTTTTTCCCCCCCCAAAAAAAAAAATTTTGGGGGGAAAAAAATTTAATTGGTTTTGGGGGGTTTTTTTTTCCCAAAATTTTTCCCGGGGGAAAAACCCCCCTTTTCTTTGGGGGATTTGGGGGCCCTTTTGGGGGTTTTTTTTTCCCCAAAATTTTCCCCCCCCAAAAAGGGGGCCCTTTTTTTTTTTAAAAAAAAATTTTTTTTAAAAAACCCCTTTTTTTAAAAAATTTTTTTGGGGGGGGGTTTTTTTTTTCCCTTTTCCCCCTTGGGGAAAAAAGGGGGGAAAAAGGGGGGTTTTTCCCCTTTTTTTTAAAAAAAAACCCCCCCTTTTCCCCCGGGGGGGGCCCCGGAAAAAGGGGAAAAAAAAATTTGGGTTTTGGGGGGGGGGGGGCCCCCCCCCCGGGGGGCCCCCCCAGGGGTTTTTTTTTTTTTAAAAAGGGTTTTAATTTTTAAAAAATTTTTGGGAAAAAGGGGGGAAAAAAAATTTTTTTTCCAAAAACCCCCTTTTTTTTTTAATTTAAAGGGGAGAAAAAAAAAATTTTTTTTTTTTTTAAAAAAATTTTTTTTTTAAAAACTTTCCCTTTTTGGGAAAATTTCCAATTTTTTTTGGGGTTTTTGGGGGGCCCCTTTTTTTCCCCCCAAAAAAACAAAAATTTTTTTTCCCCTTTTTTTTTCCAAAAAAAAAAAAAAGGGGGAAAAAATTTTTGGGAAAAAAATTTTTTAAAAAAAAAAATTAAAAAAAAAAACTTTCCCTTTTAAAAAAAAATTTAAATTTTTTTTTAAAAAAATTAAAAGGGGGGGAAAAAAAGGGGGGAAAAAAAATTTTTTTAAAAAAAAAAAAAATTTTTTTAAAAAAAAAAAACCTTTTTTTTTAAAAGGTTTTAAAAAAAAAAGGGGTTTTTTTTTTAAATTTTAAAAAAAAAAAAAATTTTTTTGGTTTAAAAAATTAAAAAAAAAAAAAAAAGAAAATTTTTTTTTTTTGGGGGAAAAAAAAAACCTTTCCCCCCAAAAAAAATTTTTTTTTTTTTTTTTTTTAATTTAAATTTTAAAAAATTTTTTTTTTCGGGGGTTTTAAAAAAAATTTAAAAAAAAAAAAAGAAAAATTTTTAAAATTTTTTTTTTTTTTCCCCGTGGTTTTTATTTTTTTTTGGAAAAAAACCCCTTTTTTTTAAAAAATTTAAAACCCCCCCTTTTTCCCCCTTTTTTAAAATTTTTTTTTTCCCCCCCCCTGGAAAAATTTTTTTCCCCTTTTTTTTTTCCCCCTTTTTTTTTTAACAAAGGGTTTTTTAAGGGCCCCTTTTTTGGGGGGAAAAAAAATTTTTCCCCCTTTTTGGGGCTTTTTAAAGGAAAAAATTTTAAAAATTTTTTTTTAAAATTAAAAAATTTTTTCCCAATTTTTTTTAAAAAAAAAATTTTTTTTTTTTTTGGAAAAAAAAATTTTTTTTAAAAACCCTTTTAAACCTTTTTTTGGGTTTCCCCCCCTTTTTTTGGGGGTTTTTGGGGAAATTTTAAAAAAAAAGGGGGGGGGTTTTTTTTCCCCCTTTTTAAAGGGTTTTTCCCCCCCCCCAAAAAAAAAAATTTTTTTTTTTTTTCCCCCTTTTTTTAACCCTTTTTTGGGGAAAAAAAGGTTTTCCCCCCCCAAATTTTTTTAAAACCCCCTTTTTTCCCCCCCCCCTTTTTTTTTAAAAAGGGGCTTTTAAAAGGAAAGGGGGAATTTTTTTTTAAAGGCCCTTTCCCCCAAAAAAATTTTTTTTTAAAAAAAAAAATTTTTTTTTTAAAATTGGTTTTTTTTTTTTTTGTAACCCTTGGGAAATTTTTTTTTTTTTTTAAAAAGGGGGGTTTTTGGGGGGGTTTGGGTTTCCTGGGTTTTTTTAATTTTTTTTGGTTAAAATCCCCTTCCCCCTTGAAACCCAAAAGAATTTTAAAAATTTTTTTTATTTTGGGAAACCCCCAAAAAGGCCCCCCCATTTTTAAAAAAGCCTTTTTTTCCCCCTTTTTTTGGGGGGTTTTTTTTGGGGGCCCAAAATTTTTTTTTTTTTTTGGGGGGGGGTTTTTTTTTTTTTCCCCCCAAATTTTTTTAAAAAAAAAAATTTTTAAAAAATTTTTTTAAAAATTTTTTTCCCTTTTAAAAAAAAAAATTTTTTTTTAAAAAAAAAAAAAAATAAAAAAACCCCCCCGGGTTTTTAAAATTTTTTTTAAAAAAAAAAAAAATTTTTAAAAAAATTTAAAAAAAAATTTTAAAAAAAAAACCCCCCTTTTTTAAATTTCCTTTTTTTTTTCCTTTTTAAAAAAAAAGAAAAAAAAAAATTTTTTTTTTTAAAAAAAATTTTTTTTAAATTTTTTTAATTTTTAAAAATTTTTAAAATTTTTTAAAAAGGGGGTTTTTTCCCCCAAAAAATAAAAAACCCCAAAACAAAACCCCCCTTTTTAAAAAATTTTTTAAAAATTTTTTTTTTTAAAAAAAAAAAAAAACCCCCCATCCCCGGGAAACCCAAAAAATTTTTTTTTTTTAAAAAAATTTTAAAATTTTTTTCCCTTTGGGGGGCCCTTTAAATTTTTTTTTAAAAAACCCAAAACCCCCTTTTTTTTTTTAAAAACCCCCCCCCCCCCCCCGGGGGGGGGGGGCCCCCGGGGGGTTTTTTTTTTTGGGGGGAAAAAAAAAAATTTTTTTTAAAAAGGGGTTTTTTTTTTTCCCCTCTTTTAAAATTTCCCCCTTTTTTGGGTTTTCCCTTTTTTTTTTAAAAAAAAAAGTTTTTTCAATTTTTTTTTTTTTAAAAAAAAAAATTTTTTTTTGGGAAATTTTTAAAAAAATTTTAAACCTTTTTTTAAAATTTTTTGGGGGTTTTTTTTTTTCCTTTTAAAACCTTTTTTTTCCCCCCCAAACCCCTTTTTTGGGGGGGGTTTTTAAAAAAAAAAGGGGGGGGGTTTTTTTTTTTTTTTCCCCCCCCCCTTTTTTTTAAAAATTTCCCCCCCAAAAAAAAAGGGGGGGGGGGTTTTTTTGGGGGGGGTTTTTTTTTCCCAAAAAAAAAACCCAAAAAAAAAAAGGGTTTTGGGGCCCTTTGGGGGAAAAAATTTTTTTTAAAAAATTTTTCCCCCTTTAAAAAAATTTTTTTTTTAAAAAAAGGGGGCCCCTTTTTTTTCCCCCCCCCCCTTTTTTTTTTTGGGCCCCCCCTTTTTTTTGGGGGGGGGGGGGGGGGTTAAACCCCCCCCATTTTTAAAGCATATACAGACTGATTTTACCTTTGCGGGTTTAGTAACACTTTAAGTCTCATGTTCATATTGTATTTGAAAATAAAACCAACATTTTACAAGGGATATTTTTAAACAATTCAAACAGACAAGTTTCTGGATGACTCTGCCCAGATATGAAAAGTAGATTTTTGAGATTGCTGTCTTCTTCCCAAAAGCATTGGAAGAAATCCTGTGCCCCATATCCACAAATCCACAAGTCCACAATCTGAAACAGGAATGGACGGCTTTAATTCACCACGGCGACCACAGGCTTGTGCTTCTCTGATACAAACGGCACCGAGCCTGCTTTGCTATGTTTGCGACGATTCATTTCCCTGCAAAGGAGATTACATTTCATAAATTGTGAATAATATTTTGGAGAACTCTTCTTGCAAATACAGATGGTAAAAAGAAACTTCACAGCATATACTTATGAATTATAAAGAGATCCTCAAGATCATACATACAGTAACAGGCGGCGCCATCAAACCGCTCATTCACACTGTATAGGCCAGAGAACCCATGTGAATAAGCCCTTCATTTTTTTAAAATTATTTCATGCAACTCTGTTGGTGGGGGGGGAGGGGGCTTGGGTGAAATATCAGGGGTCTAAACAGACCTCTGCCATCTCACCTTAGAGACAGAGAACGGAACTGAGGACACAGATTCTTCAATTCCTTTCTCTATCAGCCTCTCAGTCATACTGCAGGTGAATGAACAGGAGACAGAGGCTCCTGTTCATTCATGAAAATAAAATTAAACAGCAGCAAAGTGCCAAAAGACATCCAATACATAGCTTCTTTTGGTGCTTTGGGAGGATGGGAGGAGAGACCATGCAAGCCCATAGTGCTGTATAAAGTTTCTTTCACATGGGTGAAACTCTGCCAACGGATCTGCCTGCTCAGAGGGGTATCTGTCCGCTGATCCCCACTGAGCAGGCGGATGACAGGTTTCCGTCTGCTCTGCTGCTGCAGAGTGGACACAGACACTGCCTGCTGATTTCAATGGGACAGTCGGATGGAAACGGATTGCCTGTCCTTTTCCACCCAATTGTCGCCTGATCCAATACACTGGATGGATGGGTAATGGATCCCCATCCGTCTGTTTTTGGCGTACAGATTGGACACTGGTGGGTGTAAGCCGACAAACCGCCTGTCCATAGAAGTCTATGGATGGACCGATCTGGTCCGCCTGAAAAAACAGCCCGCTCTCCTCTATGGGCAGTCGGATGTAAACAGACCGCCTGTCCATTTGCACCCAACTGTCATCTTATCTGATCCAATCTGCTAGATGGAAGGGGAATGGATCCCCTATCCATCTGTTTTTAGCATATTCAGTTAGATGCAGGTGGGTGTAAATGGACAGGGGGGGTCATTTACATCCGGCTGCCACTAGAGGTCAATGAAAAACAGACAGGTGGACCCAATCAGTCTGTCCATGTGAAAGGGACATAAAAGGTTAAAAAAGCCTTTTAAAAACTCCAATAGTCCGTCCTACCGGGCTTGTCCCTGGGTCATGGAAGCCGCACTGTGGCCTCGGTCACAGGACGGCATTATACTGATCTTACAGTTCTAAAAAATGTTATGAACACCACTTGTTACTTTATCTTTTTACTTATTGATCTGTACCCCTGCATGGCCGATCAGTAGTTTTGTATTGATCTGAGTTTCAATAAAACTTTTGACAAAGAAGAAAACTCCAATAGTCCTACTCACAATCAAGAGCATAAGCAGAGCACTGCAGCAAAGCATACATGCCTGTGCTGGGGCTCCAAACTAAGACTCCAGATGGGGGAAAGGATCGGTAGACAGCCTCTGGACTGCTGTCATACACTCAGCTGGATGGAAGAAGAAACAGCTGCTGGGATCCTCTGCTCCAACCGGACCTCAAACAGAACACCACAAGAGTCTGAGCACAGGACTTCCTCTTCTTCAGCTGTGAACGGAGGATCCCGGTGGCTGTTTATTTTTCTGCCCAGCTGAATGTATGACCAAAACTATTGAAGTTTTATTAAACTTTCAAATCTTTTATACAGTACTGTGGGCTTGCATGGTCTCTTCCCGCCCCCCCCACTCCTTGTGTCCTGTTCTCTACGTGGGCCTGTGCCTACAGGGGGAACCACGCGGGCAGGCAGGGAGGATGATCGATGTGGCAGAGTTGGGAGAATACTGGAATGATTCTCTGTGTGTCCTTCCTAAAATCCATACCAAACCTTTTTCTGAGCATACAGCCTAGCAGGACCTATCCTGGTCTTCTGAGCTGAATGCTTGGATAGGGGTCTGGTATGAATTCGGGTAGGAAGGGAGGGCTTACACTTTTTTTTTTAATTTTCGGTGTGCGGTCCCCCCCCCCCAAATCCATATCATGGGGGGGGGGGGGCGTAGTGTTGGGAACTGTGTGACATTTTTTCTGTCTGTTATTTTGTTTACATTCTGCTTTTAGCAGAGTATAGCTTGCAGATTATGGATGCCAGGATTTGAAAGATGCAAAAAAAACAAAAAAAAAAAAAAACAAAAAAAACTAGCCTTTGCCTATCCAGCAGAAAAAAATCTATATTGCCACATTTCATCAATTATCGTATAATACCTAGGTTATAGGTTAACTTATAGTTGTGCAGTATTCCATAATTATATTGTTAAATAAGACTGAAGCCCCACAATGGAACCTTTCTGCCTGCATCTTGTATGGCTGTTTAGAAGGAGCATGTTATGCAGCTCACGTTGACCCTTTTGCGGGGTACAAGATATTATTGTGGAATGAAAGGATGCTTTTTCAGCCGACAGGAAGGTGGAAATTGCAAGTTGCAAGCAAGTCCCATTAGGATTTTAAAAAATGGAAAATGAATAACATTACAGTAATTACAATTCTCTAGATCAGAGTACCATTTGAGTTTAGCCTACCAATCCAAGAAACAGATGGGACATTCCCCTTCCTCAGGTCCTCAGAGTTTCTCCAGGATGGATTACAGTGCATTAGTGGGACTTTAAAGCCCTGGTCATTGAGATAAATGTGAAATAACCAAAGATCTACTCCTACGGGTTGATTTACTAAAACCGGGGAGTGCAAAATCTGGTGCAGATCTGCATTGAAACCAATCGGCTTCCAGGTTTTTTTATTGTCAAAGCTTAGTTGAACAAGCTGAAGTTAGAAGCTGATTGGTTGCACAGCTGCACCAGATTTTGAACTGTTGAGTTTTAGTAAATCAACCCCCTAGTGTATTTGGAAATGGACATTACAAAACCTTGGATTTATCAAGATGCAACTGTATTCCCAAAATCCCAGAGGGAAAAACGCTCATTCATGTGGCTCTCATTTTGAAATATTTCAGAAGTTCATAGGAGAAAGCAGTTTGTAATATATGAACAGTAACGGCTCACACACATGGAATGTGTGGGAAAATGCTAGCACAACGAAGTATTGGCATTTGCAAGAGTACGGTCCCATACAGCCATTCACTTGTAGAGCAGCCTGTATGCTGCATGGGTGGCTCCCTGGGCATGGGAAAGAGCCAGAAGATTTACCCTAGGCAAAAAAAAAAAATGCCTCTTTGTGTACATAAACCTTACGAGGAAGGAATCTAATGAAATTTTGTAAACCCCTCCAATATGTAGTAAGACTTTTCATCCAACTGCCACATTTTATGCTCATTTTGAACACAAGGACTATAGTTTAGGTGACAATAAAAAACATCTACATACTTCTTGCGACGAGCTTCCTTCATGATGCGTTGCTCCTTCATCTGGCTGTAGATGAATTTGGGGAGGTGTCTGTGTCTTGAAATTCTCTTGATTTGTGGGTGATGCTGAAATTTTTCCTTTAGCTTCTGGCTGTAGTTCCGAGCAGCCTTCTCACGTGGTGTCAGCTAATAGGAAACAAAATATAAAAGGGCTTGCATGAGCAGGTTCTACTATATATTGTGGCAAACCACAAAGCAGTTTTGATTTTTATTTTGCTACCAAGGGCCAAGATGCAACAGACCAGGTTTGTTTTCTGTAGGGTGGACAATGCAATCAGTGTCATTTAGAAGTGAACTATGGCCTGTTAAACCTGCTTGTTAACCACTTCAAGTCCAAACACTTTCACCACCTTCCAATCCAGGCCAATTATCAGCTTTCAGTGCTGTTACACTTTGAGTGACAATTACTCCGCCATGCAACACCACCCATATAAAATGTTTAGCAGTTTTTTTTTTAGACAGATAGAGCTTTCTTTTGGTGATATTTAATCACAACTGACTTTATTTTATGCTATATAAATGAAAATATACCGCTGCTGCAGAGAGAGGGATTGTTTCCGGTAATTTCTCCCCCCACCGCATCCATCATCCTCCCTGTGCACCATACGTTTCCCCCTGCTGCCCAGGCCCACCTCTCCTTCCCACCAGCAGTTGCAAGCACACAATAGGATCCTTCAGGAAGAGAGTGGAAGGGTCCAGTAAACATGTCACATTTGCCAGCCCCTTCTTTCACAAATGAATACAATGAGTTATCGGTAGCGATCACTCACTGTGTTCATTCATAACTGAAGCCTAGTAAACTTTGTTTTCCTTGGGGGCCCTATCAGGTTGGCTGTATGGAGCCCCATGATTTCTAACAGCAACCCTGGGGGTATGGCAGTGATCACAATACTGGTATGGCATATGGCGGTGGTCAGGATGCTGGTATGGTGTAAGGTGGTGATCAGGATGCTGGTATGGTGTAAGGCGATTATCAGGATGCTGGTATGGTGTAAGGCGGTGATCAGGATGCTGGTATGGTGTAAGGCGATGATCAGGATGCTGGTATGGTGTAAGGCGGTGATCAGGATGCTGGTATGGTGTAAGGTGGTGATCAGGATGCTGGTATGGTGTAAGGCGATTATCAGGATGCTGGTATGGTGTAAGGCGGTGATCAGGATGCTGGTATGGTGTAAGGCGATGATCAGGATGCTGGTATGGTGTAAGGCGGTGATCAGGATGCTGGTATGGTGTAAGGTGGTGATCAGGATGCTGGTATGGTGTAAGGCGGTGATCAGGATGCTGGTATGCTGTAAGGCGATGATCAGGATGCTGGTATGGTGTAAGGCGGTGATCAGGATGCTGGTATGGTGGTGGTCAGGATGCTGGTATGGTGTAAGGCGGTGATCAGGATGCTGGTATGGCGATGTTCGGGATGCTGGTATGGCGATGATCGAGATGCCGGTATGGCGTATGGCAGTGATCGGGATGCGGTATGGCGTATGGCAGTGATCGGGATGCCGGTATGGCGTATGGCAGTGATCGGGATGCCGGTATGGCGTATGGCAGTGATCAGGATGCCAGTATGGCGTATGGCAGTGATCGGGATGCCGGTATGGCGTATGGCAGTGATCGGGTGATCGGGATGCCGTATGGCGTATGGAAGTGCTCGGGACGCTGGTATGGGGCATGGTAGTGATCATGGTGCTGGTATGGCGGTGATCAGGACGTAGGGAAGGTGTATGGTGGTGTTATTGTGAGCTTAGTTGACACTGGGACAGGTGACAGGGGCTGGATGCATTGTTTATTTACATTACACTGGGACTGACTAGCATTGCAGTCTGTGATTGTACATGCACTGTGACAGGCTGCAGCAACGGGTCTCCCTGCTCTTACAGCTGATCTGTGTGAGAACAGAAAGAACCGGTCTTTACTTTCGACTTGCCATGTTTACAATGTGATTGCTGTGATTGGACACAGCAATTACATGGTAAAACACTACATGATCACCCGGACACAGCGGTAATTTGATCCACGGAGTCCAGGGGACATGCTGATCACTGGGCTCTCAGGTGTGCGCTCTGTGAGCCAGGCGCTAGCCTCTGATGCGGGAACACATTTAGAAATGTCCGTCAACATCGGCACGCATCCCATCCAGCTGCTTATGTATATGGGCTGGATGAAGAGAGTCTAAAGGGAAAAAAAAAAGAAACGACAATAACCTGGATGAGGAGTGGAATTAATCATATTCTGTTTATAATGTTAAAGTGAAGCATTGTGATTTCATAGACTGGACTCCACTCTTCTCTTTGCCCCCCATTCGTGTGACAACGATCAAGGTGAAGAATCCCTTTATTCTCAAGGGGCCTGTTCACACCTGAGTGTCGTTTTGCTTGTTGCCTGTCCTGTGAAGCTTGAAAAAGTACATGAGCTTATTTGAGGTAGAATTGTATGTGTTTGGCCTCATAAGCTTTATTGGGAGCACCTGAAAAACTAATTTTTATGCATGTGACAACGTCACTGCTACCTTTACAAGATAATAACTGGCTTTGAGAATGCATTTGGTGCACACAAAGTGGATTTATATAGTTTGTGGCTTTTGAGGAATATACTGGAATTAAAGTTTTTGTGCTCGGAGTTCAGCTTTAAAGAGTTTCTCAGTGTGGGAAAAACTCTACACCCCTAACCCACCGATCAGTAGAGTTCTCCTGCCTTGAAAAGCTAATTTTCAAAAGCAAGCAATTGCCTTATTGCTGCCAGTCACTTCCAATAATAAAACTGATGAGAGGTTTCCAAACGGAACCATCCTGCAGTTTCGCAAAAGGGAAGTGGCAATCTTCTGTAACTGGAAGATTTTACCCTCTTCATGACCAGGCCATTTTTTGCTATTTAGCACTGCACTACTTTAACTGGTAATTGTGCAGTCATGCAACGCTGTACCCAAACAAAATTTATAGCATTTGTTTCACACAAAGAGAGTTTTCTTTTGTTGGTATTTGATCACCACTTTTTAAATTTTTTGCAATATAAAACAGAAAAAAAAAAAAAAGACTGAAAATAAAAATATATAAAACCCCACAATATTTTTTACTTTCTGCTATAAAAACATATCCAAAAAAAAAAAACAAATAAGTGTTTATGGATTGGTTTGCTTGAAAGTTATAGTGCCTACAAACTATAGTATACAGGTGCATCTCAATAAATAAGAACATCATCAATAAGTTAATTTATTTCAGTACTTCAGTTCAAAAAGTGAAACTCATATTATATAGATTTATTACACACAGAGTGATATATTTCAAGCATTTCTTTCTTTTAATTTTGAGAATTATGGCTTAGTTACTGATCACCCAAAATTCAGTATCTCAGCAAATTTGAATATTACATAAGACCAATTAAAAAAAAAAAAAAAAAAAAAAAAAAAAAGGATTTTTAATACAGAAATGTTGGCTTACTGTATGTCCATGTACAGTATAGTATGCACTCAATACTTCGTCGGGCTCATCTTGCATGAATTACTGCATCAATGTGGCACAGCATGGAGGCGATCAGCCTGTGACATTGCGGAGGTGGGTGGAAGCCCAAGGTGCTTTAATAGTGGCCTTCAGCTCGTCTGCATTGACAATACCCCCCAGATTCTCTATGGGGCATAGGTCAGGTGTGTTTGCTGGCCAATCAAACACAGTGATACCATGGTCAATAAACCAGGTATTGGTACTATTGGCAGTGTGGGCAGGTGCCAAGTCCATCTGGAAAATTAAATAAGCATCTTTATAAAGCTGGCGAGTAGAGGGGAGCATGAAGTGCTCTAGAATTTCCTGGTAGAGGGCTGCACTGACTTTGGACTTGATAAAACACAGTGGACCAACACCAGCAGATGACATGGTTCCCCAAACCATCGCTGACTGTGGAAATGTCACACTGGACCTCATGCAACTTGGATTCTGTGCCTCTTCACTCTTCCTCCAGACTCTGGGACCTTGACTTCCAAATGAAATGCAATTTACTTTCATCCGAAAAGAGGACTTTGGACCACTGAGCAACAGTCCAGTCCTTTTTTTCCTTAGCCCAGGTAAGACCAGGAATGCGATAGTTGCAGCCCATGTCCTGGATACGTCTGTGTGTGGTGACTCTTGAAGCACTGATACCAGCTGTAGTCCACTCCTTGTGAATCTCCCCCAAATTCTTGAATGGCCTTTGCCTCACAATCCTCTCAAGGGTGCAGTTATTCCTGTTGCTTTTCAACCTTTTTCTACCACACTTTTTCCTTCCACTCAACTTCCATTAATATGCTTGGATACAGCACTCTGTGAACAGCCAGCTTCTTCAGCAAGGACCTTTTGTGATTTGCCCTCTTTGTCTTCTGTGCAACTGTCAAGTCAGAAGTCTTCCCAGTGATTGTGTAACCTACTGAACCAGACTGAGAGACCATTTAAAGGCTCAGGAAACCTTTACAGCTGTTTTGAGTTAATTAGCTGATTAGAGTGGGACACGAGTCTACAATATTGAACTTTTTCACAATATTCTAATTTTCCGAGATACTGAATTTTGAGTTTTCACTAGCTGTAACCCACAATCATCAAAATTAAAAGAAAGAAATGCTTGAAACACTCTGTGTGTAATGAATCTATATAACATATGCAGTTTAACTTGTTGAATTTAATTACAGAAATAAATGAACTTTTTGAAGATATTCTAATTTATTGTGATGCACCTGTATATACTGGATTTTTTTATTTTTTTTTAATACTACTAATAGCAGTGATGAGTGACTTATAATGGGCCAGTGATAATGCGACGGGCAATCTGACACTGGGAGGGAACTAACTGCCTATGAAATCATCAGTGATATTAATACAGTGATAAGTGATATTTTACACTATCACTGTACTAATGACACTGGCTGGGAAGGGGTTATCATCTAAGGCGATCAAGGGGAAAATGTGTCTAAGTCTAAAATGTGTAAAGTGTGTGCTGCTTTTACTAATACAGCTCCAACTTTCTCAAACAGAGAGATGGCTCTTTCTGTACAGAGCTCTGTGTTGATTGTCACCACAGAGCTCTGGGCTGTGATTGTACATAGCCGATCAGCAGGTCCTAGCTGTGAATCATTGGCTGGGACTTGCTCACAGGCTGCCGCTGTGTAC